GCTTTGTAATCAGTTGCCCTGTTGAATGAATAAGGTCTGAATGAGGAAGACGTGGAAGGCAGGCACCTCCAGACAGCTGCAACCCTTAGAGAGGGCAGGGCCGGCTCTAGGATTTTTGCCGCCCCAAGAAAAAAAAATTTTGTCCACCCCCTCTTTTTTTTCGTGCCCCTCGGCCCCCAGCCCCGCCCCAACTCCATCCCTTCTGAACCCCTTCCCCAAATCCCGAGCCCTGCCTCCTCCTCTGGCGTGCCGCATTTCCCCCCCCCATTGCTTCCTGCAGGCCTCCCGCGACCTCCCGCCCTAGCTCACCTCCGCTCCGCATGCTCCCCCGGGTGTGCCGCCGCTCCGCTTCTCCCCCGTCCCTCTCAGGCGAGGGAGGGCGGAGAAGCGGAGCAGCGGAGCGCGTTCAGGGGAGCAGGCGGAGCGGAGGTGAGCTGGGGGGGGCGCAGGAAGTAACGGGGGGGTAGAGGAACTGCTCCCCGCTCCACCACCACTGCCTCCCCCGAGCGCCCGCCGCTCGGCTTCTCCTCCCTCCCAGCCTTGTTCCGCAAAATAGCGATTTAATGCGCGGCAAGCCTGGGAGGGAGGTGGGAGAAGCGGCGTCAGCGGTGCGCTCAGGGGAGCAGGCAGAGGCGGAGCGGAGGCGAGCTGGGGCGGCAAGCTGGGGCGGCGAGGGCACTTTTTCTCCATGCCCCGGAGTCGGCGCCTATGATGGCCGGCGCCAGAATGCCGCCCCAAGGAATGTGCCTCCCCAAGCACCTGCTTGTTTTGCTGGTGCCTGGAGCCGGCCCTGGGAGAGGGGATGGGAGCCAGACCAGATCAGTAGAACAGGTCAGCCACCGCTTGCCTCCTCAGCCCCCCTCCCCCGGTTCGCCTCCTCACCCCCGCCACTGCCTGCTCGCTTGCCTCCTCAGCCCCCTACCCCTCCGGCTCGCCTACTTACCCCCCGCCCCTGTCCGCCCACTCGCCTCCTCAGCCCCCCTCCCCCGCCACCAGCTCACCTGCCCCCCCCGCCACTGCCCGCCCGCTAGCCTCCTCAGCCCCCCACCCCCCTCGGCTTGCCTACTCACTCCCTGCCACTGCCCGCCCGCTCACCTACGCAGCCCCCCTCCCTCACCCGCTGCTTGCCTACTCACCCCCTCGCGGGCCACACAGTGGGACCACACGGGCCGCATGTTGTGCAGGCCTGACCTAGTGGAAAGAACAGCTTGAACGGCTCCATGGAATTGGGTTCAGAATGAACTGCAACCAAATCAAGAAATAAGATCTTTGCTGTGGCATCACTGTGGAGGGCTCTATTAGTATTTATTAATTAATTTATTATTTGTATTGCCATAGTATGCAGTTTTGCCAGTCATAGACCAGGATCCCACTCTGCTTAACCTTTGCTCAAGGTGCAGCAGTGGTTAAGAAAGCAAACAAAATATGGGGCTGTATAAAGAATAGAATAGAAAATAATACTGGTAGTATAATAACGCCATTATTGAAAGCTCTCTGTGGGGCAGAGACCCTGCTTTTTGTTCTGCGTTTGTACAGTGCCTAGCGCAGTGTGTGGGGGATGGGATCGGAGGGGGGGTCTGTTCCTTGTCTAAGGCTCCTAGGCACTATGGTAATACAAATAAGTAATAATAATAATTTGGAGACCTCAGTAAGATTAGTTAAGATTGTGTAAGATTTGCAATTAAGGCAGGACTAAAAATCTCTCACCTTCCCACTTGGGGCTGGACTTGATTGAATTTCATCTCCAAATCTGTTGCAACCACTTGTCTCCGTAGGCCCATTGAGTCTTCGGTATAATTGTTTTCAGTGTCATAGTTACTAACTTTTGCAGAGGAAACATGCTCATGACATTATTAGCTTGGCTTAGCTGAGCCACATTGTACTTAATGCTCTATAGATAGGACGCTACCAAATTCATGGCCGTGAAAAACGTGTCACGGACCGTGAAATCTGGTCTCCTCTGTGAAATCTGGTCTTTTATGGATCAGAGGGGTAGCCGTGTTAGTCTGAATCTGTAAAAAGCAACAGAGGGTCCTGTGGCACCTTTAAGACTAACAGAAGAATTGGGAGCATAAGCTTTCGTGAAGAAGTGAGGTTCTTACCCACGAAAGCTTATGCTCCCAATACTTCTGTTAGTCTTAAAGGTGCCACAGGACCCTCTGTTGCTGGTCTTTTATGTACTTTTACCCTATACTATAAGGTTAAAAGTATGCAAAAGTACACAGCATTTCTTAAATTGGGGGTCCCGACACAAAAGAATGTCTCAAGGCTATTGTAGGGGGTCATGGTATTGCCACCTTTACTTCTGTGCTGCTGCTGCTGGTGGCAGCGCTGCCTTTAGAGTTGGGCACCTGGCCAGCAGCCGCCGCTCTCCAGCCGCTCAACTCTGAAGGCAGCGCAGAAGTAAAGGTGGCGATACCGTGACCCCCTTACAATAGCCTTGCAACCCCTTTTGGGGTCGGGACCCCCCGTTTGAGCAACGTTGCGTCTGAAGGGCTTTACATGTTTATATTTTGCTGTTTTCAAATACATATTCATGTTTTGTTACAACACTGTGAAAATTAAGTTTTAAATATCTGAACCTGTGAAATTTAAGATTTTTAAAATGCTATGGACGTGAAATTTACAAAAATGGACCATGAATTTGGTAGGGCCCTATCTACAGATCTAAAGCAACATAGCCAATATTGACATAAACACTTATCTAGGAAAAGTAGAGTGGTTTTGGTTTAATCAGTGAATATCACTTTTCCCCAATTATATTTAATGTCATGGTGGGAATACATAGACTTCGTGGCTCACTTGGTAAATTTTAATAAAAATATTGCAATAATGTTATGTTAAGATGTGTTGAACACCCTAACTAGTCCTCTGAAATACTACACATGTGCAATGTGAGTGAAGTACTGTTATGGAAACATTAGCTGTTGCATTTCCTGACTTCTAAATTTGAAAACTAGCATTGCCTCAACATATTTTTTTCCATTTAAAATAATATATGTAGCTATGCAAATATACTCAAGAGCATCTGTAAAACTTTTGAAGAGGTTATCAGCAAGGCAAATTGAAAGTGAAAATATGATGACACGGTTTATGCAAGTGATGCTATGTAAGGGTACGTCTACACTGATCGGGATCGACGCTGCGGCAATCAATGCACCAGGGGTCGATTTAGCGGGTCTAGTGAAGACCCGCTAATTCGACCACAGATCGCTCTCATATCGACTCCGGTACTCCACTGGAACAAGAAGCGTAAGGTAAGTCGCTGGGAGAGTTTCTCCCGTCAACCCAGCGTGGTGTAGACACCGCAGTAAGTTGACCTAAGCTACGTCAACTCCAGCTACATTATTCACATAACTGGAGTTATGTAACTTAGCTCGACTTACCCCCTGTAGTGTAGACCTGCCGAAGGTAAACTCTGAAAGGTAAGATGGGAATGATATTGCACAACTGGTTTTTCCTTTTGATACAAAATGATATTAAAAAACTAGCAGTAACAAACATTATTACATTGTGCAGCATCGGTGATATTACCGCCTTACCCCAAATAAACCACATTGGCACCTGCCAAACGCAGAACAGAGCAATTAGCCATTTCCTTAGGGCAGCATCATATGGAAAGAAAGGCAATCTTACCTACGTAATTCAGCAATAAGGATGTAATTCTCTATTCAATTTCCTAGGTTGGCTTTACAAATTCAATAGGCACTTTTTCTCTATATATTAGGGTAATTTCTCTAGAACTCCATTGGTTTAATCTCTATTCAGCTTTAGAGGATTGTCTTCCAGTAAGGCTTGAATCACTGGATATGCTTGAACCGTTCTTCCTTATTTTCAGAATAAACTGTTTTAAAAGGTCCTTTAGAGAGACAAGGTGGGTGAGGTAGTATCTTTTACAGGACCATCTTCTGTTGGTGAGAGACAAGCTTTTGAGCTTACTCAGAGCACTTCTTCAGGGTTGGGAAAGGTACTCAGTGTCACAGCAAAATGCAAGGTGGAACAGATTGGTTATCATAAGGAGTTAAGATGTTGCAAGGGGGGGTGGAGGGGAGGTTAGACTAGATGACTCTTGTGGTCCTGTCTAACCCTAAGATTCTGTGATTCTAAGAGATCATTCAAGGTAAAGTGGGTAGGTAACACCTCTGCAGTCCTAGGACAAAGGAGAATTAGTGGGTTATAGACTCTTATGTGCCATAAATCCAGTGTCTTTATTGAGTGCATGATTTTTAGTGACTAGCTAAGTTATGAATTTAGCTTCCAGGCTCATCTTCTGAAGGTGTTGTGCAGGTTTCCTACAAGGACTGAGAGGTCAGACGTGGAGTGATCGCTTTGTGAAAAGTGTTCGCCTGTGGGTGATAGGGTGTTTTTGTCTTTTATCATTTTTCTGTGTGAGCTCATTAGAGAGCATAGTGGTTGTTTCATTTCACCCACATAGTTGTTACTGGGGCATTTAGCGCACTGGATGTGGTAGACCACACATTGTGATAGGTGTACATAGGACCCCCGGATCTTGAAAGGTGTGTTGTGGGGAGTATTGATCATCACAGCAGTGGAGATATGTCTGCAGACTTTGCATCTGTTATGGCAGGGTTGCTTGGAGTTGGTGGGTCCTTGTCTATGGGGTCCGGTAATGCATCTTCTCTGCTCAGGAAAAAAATAACCTACAAATAGCTGTGCTGATATAAGCATTTATAAGATCAGAGGTCGGACACGTAGCGAATTTGGGAAGGAAAAATGCACGTGCTTTTAGGCTGGTGTTTCTGGGGGTAAATCCAGTGCTTAAGCATGTTGGGTTGTCTCATTGTTTCACATATATTTGGGCAGCCTCCTGCCAAAACAAGTCCGGTAACATAAAGCAGACCCTTGAGCCCGCCAGAGATGAGTGTTCTGTGCACTCACCCAGCGTCTCTGCATTTTTGCTCAGCCAGAGAGAACAGGCAGGGCCCACCCCCTGCCCCTGACGTCTGGGATGTATTAGTGAGTGCATGGCTGGAGCCCAGTGCTGGGTAAGCCGAGGAACTCTGCACGGAGTGAACAGCCTGGACAAGCCCTCCTCTTCTCTGAGATCTTTACTGTTGCAGTCCTTATACAGTAGCCGTAGCTGTGTGCTTTGCTTTGACCCATGACTCTGTGCCTCTCCTGTGAAGAGCCAGGAAAATACAGTCGTGTGGCTAGGTGGGATTCTTTTTGGTCCCTTCCACGTTTTTTGTGTGTGTGTGTGTGGCCTTTTGTGATGTTGTCTGAGCAGAGGACGGTCCATCACGGCTGGTAGCAAAAGGAACGGGCCATGAGGGGTGAGTAGCTGCTGGCAGTTTTGCCTGATGTACAGTGGATCTGGCTTGGTGAGTGTGGGAGGCAGTGACTGACCCAGAACGGTCTCCGTGGTCTATGTGACTCTAAAAAGCAATCTGTGAGTGTGCAGTATGTGGTGTGTCTTGGTATTTTTTCTCTGTGTGAGCACACAAGTGCGAGGTGTAGGTATCTGTTGGGGTTTGTGTGCATGCATAATATCTGTGTGTAGCTTCTGTGCGGTGTATGTGGGTCAGTTTCGTGTGTGTGTGTGTATGTACTGGAAGAGCAATCTGAGGTTTGTGCAGCCTGCGTGTGACAATGTAATGTCTGTGCATAGGGTGTCTCCGTGTGTGGGAGATAGAGAAGAGAGTGCATGTGTCTCTTAAGGTTTTGCATTATGTGTAGATAGTCTATGGACACTGTATGTTGTGCTGGAAATTAAGGTGAAAGACATGCAAAAGCAGGGAGCAGTATTATTACGAACACTGTTTCTCTTTGGCTTCTGTGCGACATAGGATGTAGGAAGTGAAGAAGCAATACAGTCTAATCTAACAAGCATTTTTCACCAGAAAACTTTAAAACACTCTATGGACATACATCCGCTTGCATAGCGTCCCTCTCAGGTGTGTTAGTATGACTGCCTGCAGATGGGTAAACTGAGGCACAGAGCGGTTAAGTCTGGTGTTTAAAGTCACACAACATGTCTCTGTGGCAGAGCTGGTCCCAGGCCATTATTCTAAAAATAGGCTCTCTGATTTGAGTGTGTCTTTAATTAGAGTTTTTAAAAATGGGTGGAATAATGCAGTAGCAATTCGAAGGTGATTTGGAGCGGTGTTGGAGGGGGGCAGGGGATGTTGTATGAAAGCTGGTAACCTTTAGGTAGAAGCTGTCATTTTTCTATTGAGCTGGGGGTGGACAGAGGAGAAGGAAAGGAAGAAAATCTGTTCCTAACCTGAGTGAACTGATGCTCATCTTCACGTTGCGTCTTCAATGTGGATTCCATCATGTTGCTGTGTCTAGGATGAGCACTAATTTACCGAGAGGGCTGTTCGCACAGAGCAGGGAGCGGTGCCCTGGTGGGGTCACACAGCAGCGGGGGACAGAGCCACACTGCGTTAATGGGGGTGACAGTAGCAGGCACAGCACCGAGGAAGCAGCTTGAGCGTAAAGCGTGGGTCCTCCAGCAAAGGCAGATGGTACTGAAGGGGCACTGTCTGTGTCATTAGGGTGATGGGGTGCTAGCTGGAGGCCTTTAATTTACAGGCTGGCTAACAGCCAGTGGCACCATATGGGCAACGAAGACCCAAAGTTAAATTGATGGGCAGTCGCATGGGGACATTTGAGGGGCAAGGAAGGGGTCCAGGCTTAACCCAAACTTTTAAATGTAGATTCATGGGGTAGAAATAGTGAGGGAGGCTTAACCCTAATAACAGTCTGTACGTAAGCACTGTCTCTCCTTGCTCTAGGTGCTGTACGTTCAGAGTGCGACAGTGTAGCGTACAGTCGAACTGAAGATGAGACATGACTGTTTAGTGTAACAAATAGAAAGCTAAGGGACGACTCGATTATGATCTATAAGTATATACGTGGGGAACAAATATTTAGTACCGGGCTCTTCCATCTAGCAGAGAAAGGTCTAACGTGATCCAATGGCTAGAAGTGGAAGCTAAACATGTTCACACTGGAAATAAGGTGTAATATTTTAACGGTGAGGTTAATTAACCAGTGGAACAATTTACCCAGCCTCATGGTGGATTCTGCATCGCTGGTCACTTTAAAATCAAGATTAGATGTTTTTCTAAAAGAGCTGCTTTGGCAATTGTTTTGGGGGAAGTTCTCTGGCATGTGTTAGACAGGAGGTCAGACTAGATGGGTGGTGGTTTTCAAACTGGGGTACACGGACCCCTAGTGGAACGCAAGCTCTCGTCACGGGGTACATGAGAAAAATCCTGTAATGGCGGACAACGCACTTTATTTAGTAAGACTTGGTAATCTAATCATAGGTATATTATGACCCTATCTCAGATGGGGGTACGTGGCGGGCTACGTTATTTGGAAAGAGGCAGGCAGCCTAAAAAGTTTGAAAACCACTGGACTAGATGATCACAATGGACCCTTCTGGCCTTGGAATCTATGCATCTAGGACAAATGGGTGGAACAAACGGAGGGAGGGTGACTTGACAGAGTCCTCGTAACTACTGGAGTGATCTATGGGTCATTTAAATCTGCTGCACAGACCTTTGGGGGGTGTAAGGAGGGGTATTTAAAATGTCCTTCATCCGAGCATGGCAGGCTGCAGTGCCATGGAGATGGCTGATCCTCCTGCCCCTTTCTGTCAGGTCCAGGGAGGTTAGTGAATGGAGGATACCCTCAGCCTGTGGCCCTTGGGGCCTAATGGGGGCTGATAAACCCATTGTACAGACTGGGTAACTGAGACTGAGGACCTGATTCTCCCTTGTACTCTGTCTCTTTGCTCTGTCATTGTAAGGAGGCCATAAAGGCGGGGAAGAGGCTCCCAGGTAATACCTATTGCTCTGTCTGTTGGTATACGGCTCCTAGAACAGATCTACGCTAGTCTGGCCTCTCTCCCAGTTCCCCTGGTGAAGGGACTGAGCTGGGGAAGAGAAGGGACGTGACAGGGAAACATTTTGCTTCCACTAGCATAAAGTGGTAGACAATCCCTAGAAAGCCATTGCAGCCGGAGCAATGCTGCCTTTTGGGTAGGTCCATGGCTGTCCCGAGAGTGATATCTGTGCCAAGTGCAGTCATGGAGCAACAGAGAATGCGGTCCAGAGAGGTTAGGTTTCAGCCAAGGCCAGTGAGGGGGGCCATTTGACCCTACTTTCTTGTTTCCCCCATCTGTATAATGGGAAGAATTGAATAGCGCTATCTGACATTTTTCTGACCAAAAATGGATTTTCAACCTAAACCAAAATTGTCTTGGAATGTTTTTCACTTTAGTTTATTTTTGAAAAAATAAAATAAAAAGGGAAAAATTTGACTGATGTATTTTATTGAAAACCAAACTGTATTCATTTATTTATTTATTTTTAACCAAAAATAGTTTTCAAAAAACAAAAAATGTTTAGGTTTCAGTTTCTGTTAAACACTGGAAAACGTCTCCTGAGGAAATGTGGTAAAACAATTATTCAAAAAATTTCCCTGAACTATAACAGGCATTTTTTTTTCCAACCAGCTCTAATGATGATCCCCACCTCTGTAAAGCACTGGGAGCCCTACAGCTGAAAAGCGCTGCTTAAGTGCCGAGTGGAAGCTCATGAGACAAGAGCTCTCTTATTGTGTCTGTCCAGCACCTAGCACCAAGGGGCTCTGATTTTAGCTGGGTCCCCTAGGTGCTCGTGTTGTACAAATAGGAAACGTTGTTACTCTTTGTGAGTTAGTTCGCACAGTGTGATAGTGCTTTCCAGACAGCGAAGCAGGGACAGTCCCACCTTGAAGAGCTCATGGTATAAGGCAGAGGGTACGGGAAGGAGAAGCGAGATGGTTATTTTAAAAGTTAGGTTCACTGGAGGCAGCACAGGACGAGTGGGCTCGTAAAAGGGTGTGGCGTGTGGGCAGGGTACAGGCTCTGTGGCAGAGCACGGTGGTGAGCTTGTACCGTGCACAGGAGACTGCAGAGGGAGGTGTGGGAGAAGATGACAAGCGAGTTGACAAGGATGAGAATGCGGGGGGTGTAGCGTTAGGGGATATGGCTCAGAGGCGGTGTGGACTTGTGGTTAAAGGATAAAGGACGGACAGACCTGTAAGGGTGGGGTGACCAGAAGCTTAAATTTGCTGGGCTAACGGATGGGGAGCCAGTGGAGGGACTGGAAGTGGGGAAGGATCTGGTCAAATGGTTGAGCTGGGAGATGATCTCAGTGGCTGTATTTTGTATGGATTGAAGGGAGGCAACGTCTGTGTGTGTGTGTTGGGAGGCCGGAGAGGAGGCTGTTGTGGTGGTTGAGGGGGAAATCTCGTGTGGGCCTGTTTGAGAGGTGTGGCTGTGAGGCTGGAAAGGAACAGGACAGGTCTAAGAGATCTGGAAAGGGCAGGAGTTGCCCTGGTTTCAGAGCACTGGACTGTGCCTCCCACCAGAATGTTTCCCAGCTTGGCCGGGATGCCGACTGGTGTCCCTCTGCCAGGGTGAGAAGGCAGCTCTCTGTAACCACAAGCGGCTGCGTCCCTGCAGTGCTTTTCAAAGGCTGGCTGGGCATGGGAATATGGTAGAATCATATTAGGGTTGGAAGAGACCTCAGGAAGTCATCTAGTTCAACCCCCTGCTCAAAGCCGGACCAATCCCCAGACAGAGTCACTCCTGTGACCATCGATGGCGAATGCAGGAGCCTGGCTTAGATCGCTCCCCTCTCGCAGACTCGGCTTTGACCTTATGCACAGTGCAGCGAACGATTTCCTCCTCCCACTTCACCGACCCACAGTAAATGATCTGTAACCCTTCTGCCAGACAGAGCCAGCAGCAACCAGGGCTGGGTTCAATATCTAGGGGTTCCTTTCCATCGATCCAACACAGAACCGGCTTCAGCGCCTATCCAGTAACCTGGGAAATTTATACATCACCCATGGGTGCCTCTGAGAGGAATACTGCCCCACTCGCAAGCACAGAGTCTGAGTGTAGAAAAGAAACTTTTCAACATTGGTGAGGTCCCATCTGGAGTACTGTGTCCAGTTTTGGGCCCCACACTACAAGAAGGATGTGGAAAAATTGGAAGGAGTCCACCGGAGGGCAACAAAAATGACTAGGGGGCTGGAGCACATGACTTATGAAGAAAGGCTGAGGGAACTGGGATTGTTTAGTCTGCAGAAGAGAAGAATGAAGGGGGATTTGATAGCTGCTTTCAACTACCTGAAAGGGAGTTCGAAAGAGGATGGATCTAGACTGTTCTCAGTGGTAGCAGATGACAGAACAAGGAGTAATGATCTCAAGTTGCAGTGTGGGAGGTTTAGGTTGGATATGAGGAAACACTATTTCACTAGGAGGGTGGTGAAGCACTGGAATGGGTTACCTAGGGAGATGGTGGAATCTCCTTCCTTAGAGGGTTTTAAGGTCAGGCTTGACGAAGCCCTGTCTGGGATGATTTAGTTGGGGATTGGTCCTGCTTTGAGCAGAGGGTTGGACTAGATGACCTCCTGAGGTCCCTTCCATCCCTGAATCCTATGATTCTATGAAACTTTTAATAAAAGGAGGGAAGTAACTTGGCATTAATTTGGGAAAACACAGTTCATAAACATAAACCATGAGTAAAAGACCCACCCCAAGTAGGTTGGGCCTTGCCCTTTTCCCCTCAAGTTCTTAAGTTCAGCAACCCAAAAGTCCTCTTCACATGCCCGCCCCTTCTCTACTCCCCACTCTCACTTGCTGTCCTTGGTCAGTGCAGATCCAGTTTGAAATGGGCCACTCTCATTACCACTACAAAAGTGATTTTTCCTCCCTTGGTATTCTACTGTTAATTGAATTGTCTCGTTAGCACTGATCCCCGCCCCACACACTTAGTAAGGCAACTCCCATCTTTTCATGTACTGTGTATACTCTATATACCTGCTCCTGTATTTTCCACTCCATGCACCTGATGAAGTGGGTTTTAACCCACAAAAGCGGTTCCTAATGAGTCTATTTAGCGGTATTTTTTGAACAGCTTGGGGGAAACAAGTTAAAGCAGTCTAGGAAGAACCCTTGAGAGTGTGCAGGTTCCTGACTAGTATCCCTGCCCCCACCCTGCTTCCTTTCACAGCGCTCGGACATGCGAGCTCTTGTTTTACCAAGGTTCTTTACACTGACCGTGACTCTCTCCTTTGGGACAGGTTAAGCACAGTCCTGCTTTTCCGTAGTCCCACTCTAATGACAAACATTGGTAACCATAATTTCACTACCCCCGCATTCAGCACGAACATAATTTGTGACCCAACACCAGCCAAGTGGATTACAATGAGCAAAACACCGCTCCATCAGCTGAATATTTCGCAAATCTAAGCAAAACAGGAGCAAACTGTATTTACATAAATGCACCCAGGGTCTCTGTCCCCCCTCCCAGCTGGCTGTCAGGGAAGCATTCATTCAGGCCTTGCTTACAGATCTATTCATGCCCACTCTGCCTGCCAAACCGGAGCTGGGGGTACGTCCTGCATATGTCTGGCTGCTTCGGCCTTTGCCTCCAGCAGTAAAATACTAGAAGCGGCAAAGCATTACGTAAGCACAGAGTTAGACAAGAGGAGCATTTTGGCAGGCCCCGTAGCGCTAGGGTCCAGATGTCCCGATTTTATAGGGACCGTCCCAATTTTGGGGTCTTTTTCTTATATAGGTTCCTATTACCCCCCACCCTCTGTCCTGATTTTTTTCACATTTGCTGTCTGGTCACCCTACGTAGTGCAGAGAGATGGGTCCAGATCTGGAGCTCAGGCCTTGTCCACCTTGGGGGGTTTCAGCCACTAGTGTAGCTGCTCTGATGTAGGCAGGCAAAGCCAATATAAGCCAGTGCATCTCATCCTGATTTCAAGAAGGTGCAAATCACAGCGTCCAATATAGTCTGTCTATTCTGTAGCTTGCATTGGTGCAGCCACGCCTGTGGGCTATAACTGGGGCCAATCTTCAGTGTAGACCAAGCCTCACTTAAACTGGTGTAAATCTGGAGTGACTCTGTTTGGAGTAAGGCCAGTGTACAGGAGAAAAGAATCTGGCCCCTAGTGTTTTGCAGTGGTCCAGCAGACCCATGTCCAATGTCTTTGCCCCTCCAGGTTGCACCTCCTGGTGTGATGTGCGATGATTATCCAAGGCTGCAGGGCAGGGAGAGCTGAGTTCTGCTGTGAGTGTGACATCCCCTCTGCCAACTGGATCACCGCTGCGGTGTCTGACGGTGATGAGTAGAACAAGGGTTAAAGAGGGTTCGCCCAGATTGAAATGGTCCCGGTGAACGGAGCAACTTTGTAACGGCAGCTAGTACTTATCTGTGTAAAACCGGCTGCAACCCCGCTGTGAGCTGCCGCCACCTTGACAGATGCGCTGTGCTGCCTTCAGGATCTCGCACAGATGTTCCTCGTCCACCCGACAGGAAGCTTCGTCGAGCCAAGATTAGCTGTAAGTACGGGTGTCTGCCTGTCTCGTAATATACATGCTCTGCAGCACTGTGTGTATGTACAAAAATAACCTCGAGTTAACATTAAGGCTGGAATGTCAACAGTCAGTAAGTGCCTATCTTCCTTCCGCACTCACCCGCTCTGCTCCCCCGACGGCGGCCCCCAGACTTATTGCTGTGCTTCTCGGCCTCTCCTTGTCAGCATTCAGTCCCTAAATGGGCAGCTCCCTCCGAGTGTGAAGAGATGAAACAGATAAACAGATGCCTTAGACGGGCCTGCTCCAAAGCCCACTGAAGCTGATGGAAGGGCTTTCGTGGCCTGCAGAGGGCTTTGGCTCTGGCCCGTCGTCCGCTCGTTTCTTGGAGGAGGTGGGTCTTTGGGAGAGATGTGAATGAGTGCAGGGCAGTGACCTTGCGGGCCAGCTTGAGAAGGGAGTTTCATGGGTCGGAGGGTGATGTGGAGGGGAGAGGTGGACCGACAGCGCACCGGCGTGGGCATTGCTGGCAGAACGGATGGGGATGCAGGCCCATGCAGTAAGCCCAGCAGCAGGGCGTAGCGAGGGGCAGAACTATGTAGGGCATTGAAGGTGACGGCAGGGGGCTTGAACTTGATGCCGTGGAGCCGGGCGAGCCGATGGAAGGATTCGAAAAGGAAGTGACGCAGTCGGAGCCAAGGGCTGGGGAGCTGAGCTGAGTGGCTGCGTTTTGTATGGACTGGATGGGGCAAGGGAACAGGTAAGTTACAGTAGGGGGTGGCCTCCCTCACATACTTTTACACTCTCCGGTGAGCTGCCTTTCCTGATGCACCCCTCTCCGCGAGTCATGCTGAGTTGGGCTGGCTTACTGGGACAAATGCAGAGATGAATGTGTTGGCAGGCGGGGAGTGATGTCTAAGTTGCTGTGAGGTGTGTACCAAGGTCCCTGGTGCTGATGCCAGTTACACCACTGGCTTTTATGGCGTTGCCACTGTGAGAGCAAAATCGTGCTTGGCAAGGTCTGGGGGGTGAATTCTGCCAACGCAGACTCCCCTCTGTATTTGGCCCATCCTTTTCTGACACACACACACAGAGCAGATCTGAACTCCCGACCAGCTGGGAGACAATAACTATGGCTCCCCAGAGTCACGCTGCTTTGACTAGCCCCACATTGGAAAAGGAGCCTGCCCCAGTCAAAGAAGAGCTGGGCACGGGGTAACCCTGGGTGTGACAATGTGGAGGGAGCCGCACGTTTTTGATTGGCCTCTGACCTCCCACTGTGAGGCATTGGGTCCTGCTCCAGTCCCACTGTGCAGCACCCAGCAACTCCTCCTTCCCCTCAACCACTTCCGTACCACGTGAGCCCATCCCAGGCCACCAAACTGTATGTGAGACAGCGTGATGAGCGGAGAAGTATATGTCTAGCCCCTTTAAAATGGGCAGCTCTAACTTTTTATTTCTTTTAGGATTCTTTCTATGTTCTCTTGCTAATAGCAAACAGGCACTCCGGGCCAGCGCAGTCCTCGGAAATAATTGGACTTCTTGCTCTCTGAAAGCCCCAGGCCCTTTGGCCTCATGTCCCTTAACACCACTCAAGGCGTGCAACAGATCCCCTGAAATCCATTGCCTGGGAGTGTCTTATTGCCTAATTATGGCCCCTCTGATGGCTTCCTGTTAGAGCTGGCATTGCAGACAAAATCGCTTTCTTGGTATTAAAAGCTCTTGGCTCCTGATTAGACCCATGTACAAAATAAGCCACAATTAAAATTCTTCAAGTGGTTGCATACATTTTGCCTACAGCAAAAATCTGCACTTCTGTTGTAAACCCATGCGTATTTCCACCAAATGCTTGCTTCGCTCCTTTCAGTCTGACTTTTTCTCTCTCGATCATAGGCTGCATTATATAATCTCTCTTAAACTTTGGTTTCATTTGTCTACTTTTGATCATTATTTATTTGGCACTACAAGCATTTAGGGTTTTACTGTGGACCATATCTTTAGCATCCACTGAGAGATTTTAAAAAAAGGACAGGAAAAAAGACCATTATATGCCAGGACTTTTTTGGGTATAATTGACTAAAAATAGTCCGATGATGACTAAAGTTTATCTCTTCAGACGTGAAAAGCACGTAGGTGAGAACCAATGTGCCCTAATCATGATGCACCGAACCAGTGGCTCTGGAACACTTTTTATAGTGGGGGTGCTACACCCCCCCCCCATTGCCCCTGTCTGAGCCCCCTGCCGCCCCCTAGAGCTGGGGCCGAGAGCAGGGCCGTGGCTTCAGGAGGGGAGGATGCACGCAGGGGGAAGGGGGCCCAGGCTGAGGCCACAGCTGGGGGCGGGCACAGAGCCCCTGTGGGGCTGACAGTCGGGACCCTGGGCGTGGGGCCAGGAGCAGAGCCCCGCGTAAAACCTGGGGGTACTGCAGCACCCCCCGCACCTATTCACAGAACTTAAGCATACATATTGGGCAAGACTGTAGCTTCAGCTACTGAAAAACTCCTCAACAAATGTTCATTTGAATGCTTATGTAAATTGATTTAGCAGCGTCCATACTCCATTCATGTTTGCTTTCCATGACCGTTGTAGTGAATGGGTTCACTGGCAGGAATGTTTGCAGAAACAGATTTTCAAGTCAATAGTGCAGAAATGCAGAGAGCCAGTTTCAGATTGGTGATCATAAGTATTTACACCAGCAACTTGATCCGAAGAGTTACGTTACGTGCCATCCACTCAGCAAACTGCAACATGTCATGTGTCCTGTGTCAAGTTAAAACAGCTTGAATTCTGAATTCCTGCCAGAAGCTGTCTGCAATCAAACTACAGACTAAGAATTGTTCATAGAGGGCCACGTTTTCAAAAGCACCTAAGTGACTAAGGCCAAGTGTACGCTGGAAACTTTTGCTGATACAGCAGTATCATTCAGAAGCGTGATCTGTGTGTGTGACATTTTTATAGACTGGCAAAAGCCCTAGTCTAGAGACCGTTTTACACCCATAAAAATGTTTTTGCTGGTGTGGGTTATTTTGCTCAGGGAACCAGCATAAGCTATATCGGTAAAAGAACCATTTACCAGTGCAAACTGCATCTGCACTAGGAGGGTGAGCTGCTATGGCTTTCACCAGTATAGCTAGCAATCTTTACTCGTGCCCTCCTGGCCTTAGAAGTCTAAGGGTATGTTTACACAACCCGCCCGATTGGCGGGCAGCGATTGATCCAGCGGGGATCGATTTATCGAGTCTAGACTAAACATGATCAATCGATCTCCGAGCCCTCTCCCGTCGATTCCTGTACTCCAGCGCCGTGAGAGGCTGTCAAGGCTGCTTCCCCACTCTGAACTTTAGGGTACAA